ACCTAGACACAGGAGAACTATTGTCGTGAAAGTGTTGTACAATCGATTACGAATTTAGATTGCAGAGAGTTTGTTCTGAGCGCTAAAGGCACTCACGATAGAGCACATTTTGCTTTATTCTAACACTACCATTGCTGTGATGATTTCTTTGTGATGTGCTTGGTCCGTTACCATTTGGCGAGTGATGGATACATCCATCTGGTTCTGGACTCTTGGCCCTGGAACGCATACGGCTCTATTGGAAGACGGTGGGAACTTTGTTGGGTCGATTCCAATGTCAGTTCGTAGGGAGCAAAGCCGTGGGACCAATCTGAGCTCGATTCGGAAGTATGTAGCGGCGGCTTTAAATGGGACTGGAAGTCCTGGTCCCGGTCCTGGAGCGATCGGTTGTCCCATGTTATTGATGACGTGTAGGCTTATGAAGTCGTACATGTCGCTGGTAACGTCGAACAATTTGCTGGTGGCGGCGTTGACGCGCGAGCGAACATCTGGGCATACTGATGTGTAGCGCTTCATCAAGAAATCCACCTTGTGTTCCATTGTTGTCTTTTGTCTGCTTGATGGAATTCACAGACTGTTGGAGGATTGCTTGCTTGATTTCTGGAGACTCTGTGGTTGGAGCTAGGACGGCAGTATCGATGGTGTACTGATTGTAGGTGATGGTCTCGTCCACGTGGCTTCCATTGACCCAATACGATTTCTCGTTGATACGATCGCTTATTCTCTTGTTTTTTTTTCATATTTGTGATGCGACGCGGCAGTCATCGCGGCGAACGCTGCATTCTCCATATTGACAGGAACTGCTGACATAATAGCGAACGCGTTGCTCTGGAAATGATCAGGGTTGAACTGTCCACCCCATGTGTTGGCTGTTTGTGTGAATAAACTTGGTGGCTCTGACTGCAAATCGAATGCGTTGGGGCTTTGAATCTCGGGCTGGCTTCCACTTAACGTGACAACGTTGGGCTCCTGACTCTCATTGTAGAGAGAGCGTACTAGTGCATTGATGTAGCTACTGTTGGACATGATAGACGGTGATTGATATTGCTATTGGGGTGTATTTACGGGGGTCTGAAGCACCTGTGAGTAGATGATAGATGATTGATCTTGGGCTTGAGATTGGCGACGACCGTTGGCCTTCGATTGCTCTAATATATCTGCTCGGGACTCGGCAGTCCAGTCAGTCACGTTACGCAAGGACAGTGGAGACATCACCAAAAACATGGACCCAAACCACGTCTACGAACAGATGGGCAACGGCGTATATTCGACCAAGAAGTCTTATTCAGAACAAGGTCTTTGTCTTCGCTCACTGGAAGGTCACATCTTTTATTGAAGAAGCCGACAGCCCCGAAGTTCTCGAGTTCAAGAATCGGGCTAGAGCTCGGTAGGAGAACATCAACGAGAGATTGAAACGTTTTGACACTATTGGAACTCGTTTTTGTTATACTAGGGACAAGCATGAAGTCGTTTACACTGCCTATCTCGTTTTGGTTCAATAAGATATTGAGAATGGCCGTCCTCTGAAAAGCGTCATCTAGTGCAATTGTACTTATTTGTATAGAGTTTGTATTGTTTTGTCTTTTGGGGGAAATATTATTTCGCAAAAGTTCCCTGAAAGTTCCCGAAAAGTTCCCTGAAAGTTCCCTGAAAGTTCCCTAAAAGTTCCCTAAAAATTCCCTAAAAGTTCCCTAAAAGTTCCCTTAAAGTCCCTGAAGTTCCCTAAAAGTACCCGGGAAATTCACTTAAAGTACCCGGGAAATTCCCTAAAGGTTCCCGGGAAGTTCCCTAAAAGTTCCCTTTTTTCGGGTCCGCCCGGACAAACGGGTCATATTATAACGTTCGTCTTGTCCGCGCGAAAACGCGAAATTTCGATGATCGGAGAATCTTGAAATACACGTTTTTGCCACACGGTCCAGCAAAAATAGGTGAAGCTCATGCACATTGAAAGTCATCATGGGCCAGGCACTTTCGATTATATCGCACACACATACATATGTTTCTGGGCTACTTCACTTTACGTTAGGTCGCGGAAGATGGTCCCAATACTTGATAGAAGATTGTACATTCAGTCGTTTACAAATCAAAGATTCAGACTCCTCAGATGAAGCCCTGTTTAAGCAGCATGCTCGAATCCATCTGTTTAGCCTGGCTTCAAACTTCTACCTCTACAATAGACCACATTACAGAAAAGGTTCTTATCGTGACGATCTTGTTGACAACCTTCGCAATGTTGCAATTCCTGGAACTGGTATTCCCCTATCGACGTTTGTCAGAAGCCGAGTCGTGGCTTTCGGATTCTTGCTGACTGCTTATCCTGCAATCAGTTTTTTTGCATCGACACAAAAATGGATAAAATCGAAATTTCAATCGAGTCTCAGTGAAGAATATGCCACACGTCTCTTGGTAAGCGAAATCTCCTTTTGTCAGTACTTACCCTCTCCTCTGCACATGCCCTCTTATTAAATCTCATTTCCCTTTTTGAACAGGCTCCTGATGATTGGTTTTCTTTTTGGAGACTGAATTGCAATATTGTCGGTCTGCACTCCCTATTGAATAAAATGCCCTCCGGATATGCAACTGAGAACAAATGGTAAGCATTTTGGCGTTGACAGCTGATGAAAAATGTATGTCACTAAAATCTGTCAAATCAGGACGTTCCTAGAATCTGGAAGTGAAAAGAATGTGCCGGTAAGTCCTTACCTCAAAACTCCAGGACTAGTCGTCAAGCATCGCAACGAAGAGGGAGGAATGGGAATACACTTTTACAAGAACGCATTAGCTGGAGGAGACTGGATCATTCAAGAAACTATCTCAAACAGTAAATGGGTTTCAACTCTGTTGCCCCCATCTGCCCCTCTATCTACTTTCAGAGTTATTACACAGAGCAGAGCATCGATCAATCTTGAAAACTCGGCAAAGTTGGAAGAAGTCACAGCACTCAGCTGTGTGTTCCGAGCAGGCCGAGCTGGTGCCGCAACGGATCATGACAGCATTTTGTTTGACGTCGACGTAAAAACAGGATTGATTCGAGGTGGAACTACCAATGCTCACTGGTATCGTCTCGGCCTGCACGAAATGCTACCCGGACGGTGCCCGTGGCGTTCGCATCATGATTACGAACGGCATCCTGATGGAGACATTGCTGTAACCGGGAATTACGTGCCAGATCTGAAGGGCATTCTCGCCTTGGTTGAGGAGAGCCATTTTAAGATTTGCCCAGATGTTCCCTTTGCAGGATGGGACGTTGTACTCAGCGCTGACGAGAACTTGCCCGTTTGCCTCTTGGAAGTAAATCTTTCGTGAGTGCACTCCCGTTTGCGTCAGTTCTCATTCATTCGCTTGTTTCTCAATATCAATTCGTTTAGCTGCAATTTCTTCCGTGGGTCGTTCGACAAGAAGGTTGGTAAAATGCCAGGGTATGTTTCCAAATTGTAGTCTCTGACACGGTTTATTCTCTTTCAGATGTATCTCGACTTCATTGATGATTCGTTCTCTAAACTACAATCATTGCGACTGGCGGCTGACGGAAGGTCTTCTTAATCGTATGTTGTGTTCTTGGTAAACAAAGCCCCAATCTATGATTCAAGATGCGAATATAATACACAGTCCAATATTTCACTTAGAACATTTCATCTACTTATAAACTCATCGGCGTCTCCGTCCTCCATTTCTTCGTCAACGTCGTCTTCTGCCATTTTCGCTATTCTTTCTTCAATATGACCTCTATCGTCCTTTACTTGTGGCAGCCGCTCCTCTAGTTTTGAAAGTACAATATCGCACTGCTGATACAAAGTTTCACAAGCTTCTTCTATGACCTGTATCGCAGTTGTTGGCTGTACTGCCTGTACCCGAATGTGGACAATCGGCTCTGCAGGGTGAGGAACAGAATAACCAGCGAATCCAACTTTTGCATTCTGTACTAGGACGTGTCTTAAGCAGTTCCCCAACGTATGGTCTTCATTTCCAATCGCAAAGGTCCTACTAGAAGGTGGCCCAGTTCCTCTGACTTCAAACGAATTCGAAGCAGTTTTGATCTTGACTTCATTCACACTCATTTTCTTCCAGCAGTTTCTAGAGGATGTTTGCATGGATGCGAAGAAGGAAACGGCGTTTCCCTAAATGCACGTGCGCACGTACGATTGCAGACAGCAGGCATTAAAAGTAATCCTCCAAGTTCAGGCTGGCCAGCGGACCTGAATAAGCCAATCAGAATCACTGAATCGCCGGACAATAAAGAAATAAAACAACAAAGAAATCAAACGCTTCAAAAAACAAACGCTTCCCAATATCTCAACAACAACGAAAGCATCCACAGCCATCCACAGCCTAGATATCGTACGAATAATTCTATTGCTCTAATGATAATAAGATGTAATTATGTTGCCCTATAATGATAATACGATCAACGAAATTCGAAAACCATCACCTCCTTTCCGAAAACCAACTTCTTTTCACATCTAAAATGACCAAGATTTTTTCACCCAGCTTTTTGGATGGACTTGTTGATTTACTATTTACCTTTCGCTATGTCCCTCCTTTCCCTATCAGCGTAAAAGAATCCAAAATACTTCTGTTACCTTCTGGTGTTTGGTTTCCTCCTCTCTCGCTCACAAGAGTTTTGAGTTTTCCACGCTCTGTTGAGGTCAAGCGAATGGCAGGTATTCCATAAAATAGGTGATGAATATCTGAAAATCGTTGTATTTTTCATACTACGCCTATGATGACGGCACATTTCCGCTTGGAATAACCAAAGATCGAAGAACAGACGAATAATATTTGATTTCAAAAAATAGAGCTGCTAAGCAACCCGGATACGTTATATTGAGTAGCGAGGTACGAGAGATTTGGAACAAAAACGAGTACGATGACAAACATGGGGATTTTACAAGATGTGTGCGAATCTCTAGGTTAAACTATCTAACGTACGAATGACGGACACTCTCTGGTCCAATTAACGGTCCCCTCAAGGTGATACTGATGTATCAGAGAACCTTGTACTCCGAATTGGGCTAATATCAACCGTACCCCCTCTTGGGAGGACGTATCATCCAATACTGTCCAAGACTGACAATATCTGGCGACGGATGAAGACATTTCCAAAAGTTAAATCAGAAGAGCAAGTCTTCCATTTTGCTTTGCTTTCCACATGATGTTTTCCATAAGACGGTCACGAACGGTTCCAGCTTGAATCTTGGTTAAAACGTCGGCCAAGTTCTCAGCGGAAATGATCCATTCAATTCGTAGGATATCAATTGCGCATCTGGAGCGAACGTAGTGATATGCAACAGCATTCGATTTCTTTTTCAATTGAGATTCAGGAACACTTGAGTTCTTGACAACGGACATATTGTCAACACAAGTATGACAATAACCTTGGATTGGGACGCCCATCATTCTGAGCTTGAATCGTAGTCCCTCAAGTAATTCAACACCTGTCTTTAGAGCAGCAAATTCAGAACCAAAACTGCTCGTCTTGACACTGTTCTGCTTTTTCGAATACCAGATGATAGGAGCTTTGTTAACAAAGATCAATACTCCTGTCCTTGATTGACGAGTAACAACGTTAGCAGCATGAGATGCATCAACAAACATAGTAAACTCTACCGCTTTGCCAAGAGGTGTAGGCATGTCACTTGGGAGTTCATCCTTAGTGAATTCATAGAACTGTGAGTAATCAGCTTTCTTTAATGGTCTCAGATGATCAGCATAACCACAATCCATCACAAGTATACGATCAGGATGCTTCTGTAAATAGGCAAAAATATGTAAGGCAGCATGAAAGTGACCTTCACGAGGCATTGCATTGTAAGATGAGAGCATAGACACTTCGGCAGCGACATCGATACGACCAAGTTCCACAAGCCAGCGCAGAATACCAATGAGCTGCATGTAAAGTATGGCAGTATCATCATTGACAAAAGGAGTAGAATCAAGTTCCGGCTTGTATCCAGTGGGTAAAGTTGAATAAACCTTTTTCTTCAAAGTCAGTTGCATTGGCGCGATTCGCTTCTTGACAACTCGTAATGACTCTTGTAGATATGCTTCAGATCCAATAGCCCAGGTGAAATAATCATCACCATCCAACTTGTGCTTTGAGATTGTTGCACCAAGATACGTGGTTGGCTCTTTTATTGAATCAGGTTTTAAAACAAAGAAATTGTTGAGTTTGTCCATAATAGCTTTTGGATTCTCCAAAATTGCAATGACATCATCAGTATAGACTAAAATATACTCATAATATTTCGAACCATCTTTGTGTTGACAAGGACGACGCCAAATATCCATATCTCCACGACATGGTTGGAACTCCAATTGTTCCTTCAAAACGTCTGCACAGAGGCTCCTCCATGCGAATCCCGAACTTTTGAGTCCGTAAACGGCCTTAACCAGGATAGCTTTCTTCCCGGCATATTCTCCAAACTCCTTCCCTAAAATACAATAAACTTTCTCGGCACATTTGGCATTCAGATATGCACCGGAGACGTCAGCACTCAAAACATTCAAGCCATTCAAAGCAGCAAGAACAAAAGCAAGTCAAATACTTTCCCTTGTCACAACACTTGCATAGGTGACAGACATTGGAGGGTCAGTCTGGTCCCCTCTAGCACATATTCGTGCCTTCCGCGTGAGATCCATCTTGACATCGAAAACAGTCATAAGCTCAATGAGCTGATATCCAACGGGAACATCTTCATCTTCTTCCAGAATCTTCAAAGCTGGCAGAATTGTTTTGACCTCTTTGATCAAGGCATCATTCCAATGCTAGCTACCATTCTCAGCATCAAGTTCATACGCACGTGCAACACCTTTCGGCCCAGGACCAGGCACTTCAATACCAAACTTTTCTGGCTTCTGCCTTTTCACAGCACGGCGCTTAACAGCTTTCATAACTCGATCACGCTTTCTCAAAGTGTAGGGAACCAACCACGCAAAGGCAGGCTCTGACACAAGCTTGTTTGCAGCAGCATATTCAGCGACCTCAATAGGAAACGCTTCTTTTGCTACTGATAGATCAAGCCATTCGGTTTCTCCACCTTTCATTTCAGCTAATAATTTCCATCCTTTAGTTGTCTTTCGTGGACGCTTGAGACCGTTGGAGGTAGTATACCATCCGTCGTCCCCTTTAACTGCTCGTCCATCACGTTGATGATCAATAAATTCGCAAATCCGGTACATCGTGTTACCTTCATCATCGACATTTGTCATTATCCCTTCAATAATCTGATTTGCATAGAAGCTTTCCACGTTTCCATCCTCGAACTCCACTTGATAGATAGATGTGTCAAGGTGTGGATTCTCGTGGTAATGACCAATCAATTTTCCAGATGAGTCACGCTTCCGACCTTGAACGACTCCAAAAGTTTCAATTCCATCTGCATTAAAAGATACCTTTGCAGAGACATATTTATCGAACTCAACAGGGTCCGCTTCTTGATCCGGCGGCTCTTCGAAATCATCTTCAATCTTGTGACGAGGATCTTCTTGTGGGTGATCT